CTTAATCTACTCTCTTACATGAGCTGGACACTTCGGGAAGCAGTGACATTCCTATAAACCTCCGCGTGGTGTTGTTTCACCGATAAACACCTCCATTTGATACTTTACCACAAAATTACACCAAACTTGTTAAATTATTCTCCTCTACCAATGGGCATGTTGCCATGCCGATCTTTCTATTACTTTTCGATGTCATTTTCTACACAACAAATTTAACAAATGGAAAACAATTTCAGTGTAATGTAAGTGTGATTAAATTGTGTAATGTAATGAAAAATAATGTGTAAGGAAAATTACACATTAGCATAGACAGTGTATTAATTAATGAAAAATTAATTAATACAATGTAATAGAAAATAATGTAATGGAAAATTACACTCAGCGAGTGTAATGTTAATGTAATGAAAATAATGTATGTAATGTGTTAATTTCAAAAAATAATTAAGTGGTAATGTAAGTGTCTATTTAGAAAATAATGTAATGTAAAAGAGACCAAAGGCTAATTGAAATTATTCTATTTTTTTATTTAAAAAATTATTTTAATTAATGTAATCTGTTTTTTTTTTTTTTGTTTAAATTATTCTATTTATTTATTTTATTTCTAACAGAGACTCAAGGCATATTGAAAAAAAAAAAAAAAAAAAAAGCGCCTGAGTCGAAGTCGAGTCGAAGTCAAAAGAAGAAGGGGAGAGAGAGTCGAAGTCGAAGAAAGAAGCCGAAAGAGAAAAGAAAAAATAAATAATAATAGACGACACAGATTAGAGAGTTCGAACACACACCTGGAAGTCGTAGCGCACTTGGAAGACGAAGTCGAAGTCATAGCCCAGTCAAGTGAAGTCGAATTGAGTCGAGAGAGGAAGTCGTATTTCGTTTCGAAGTGATCGAAGTCGACATAGATTAGGGATTTGTTTCAGTCATATTTCATTTCAGTCGAAGTCGTATTGTATATAAGTGTAATCCTCTGTGGTTAGAGCCATCGAACACACACACCACAGCGTTTGATCAAAATTAGGGCATAAACCATCAATCGCGCCTAGGCGCGAGCCTTGCGCCTCTCTCGCCTGCTTCAGTCGCGCTAAGGCGCGGCGACTTCTTAACGGCCTCGCCTGTACCAGTTCAGGCGCACAAGCTGCGACTCGATGCACTTGCGCCTAGTGGCACCGCTAGGCGCGCTTTTACAACTCTGTCGATAAATGGGTACATTATATTAAAAGGGAAGTTCTATAGAACGCTTAGACAACGATATTGTATGGGACGGAATGTTGGGCAACTAAGAAACAACATGTAAATAAGACGAGTGTTACTGAGATGAGGATGATAAGGTAATGTTTTGTGGCAAGAATAGAAAAGATAGAGTTAGAAATGAGTATATTTGAGAATAGGTAGGAGTAGTAATGAAAGATAAATTGAGAGAGAACAGATTGAGATGGTTTGGTTATATACAACGAGAGACCCAACAGAGGCAGTAGTGAAAAGATGCGATACAGTGACGGTAGATGTGGTGTTTAGGAAATTGGTAGATCTAGATTGACGTGGAGTAGTGTAGTAAATAGATATATGAATCTTCTTTAATTTGACTAACGAAAATGGCCTTGGATAAATTGAGTGGAGAAGAATGAATTCATGCAGCGGACCCTATTTGATGCTATATAAATATTTTATGCAATATTAGTTTGTATATTAATAACAAAATTATTTTCTGTAACCAAATCAAAACTAAGTTTGGTACCAAATTCAAAGTCTTTTAAGAACTCTATCACAAGTGCGCGACTCAAGCGTGGTGGTGTCTATACGTTTATCTTCGTACTCCCTACATGCGGTATATTAATAGATTTAGCGGCTAAAAGTATTCTATTCTGTTGCATATTTGAGGTACTGTTCTAGTTGCCCTTTGGGTCCTTTTTTCTACTCTGATTTGGTGACCAAACTTTGATAACTTATTACTAGCCTCATTTGGGAAACATTGCTATTTTATGTAACTTTTG